TTCACATGTTGCCCAATGTAGCTAATGTAGCTAAGTTTATAGGAAGCAGCCGGGTGTGAACCCCAACATTTTGCGCCTCAACAACTTATGGTATTAGGACCTGAACGTGTCACTCTCTGATGCCACTCTCTACACTTGGATGTGATGTGACAATTGGCTATGGAATTTTACAATCATTCTTTTCCGACCATTCTCAATTATACAAATTTGCCTTAAATCATTTCACCTACTTGCAGCTTTGCCCCATCCCCTGTTAGTGACAGTAAATAAACCATTACTTAATGACCACGCTTGTTCTTGTCTCCCCAAACTGTTTCGCATGCCCATCACAGTACGAGTGGCTGTCACCATTTATAATTCAATACAAACCAAACAAAGTTGTTAATTAGGAGCACAATCGTAGGAGTGAAGGTTGAGTAGTTGTCATTGTTTGAATGAACATAGAAATTCACTTGAAAATGCGGTTACGATACAGTGTTATTATCTCTGGTCCTTAATATAAAGACTAGTTAACTAATTTAAGAAGATTAAGTAAACTAATTTAGTTATTTTTAAAAATATTCTTGCTAATCAAATATATTAGCTAGAACTAATATTATTACAAAGATAATTTTAGAAAATAATAGATAAACATAAGAAATAGAATGGATTAAAATATTATATTTATGATTAAAATAAAAATCAAATAAATTTTTATATTAAAAAATAGAGACAGGGTTATGATAAGACGGGGGAGGTAATTGGAGGACAAATAGCGGTACCAATGGAAGGAGCGTCAAAGGCGGTCGTTAGAAGGAGGAAAGTGTCTTTATCAGACCGTACGTCTTATGCCGGGTGGAAAGGGACTGAGGTGCAAGAGAAGGCAGGGTTACAGAAAAAAAGAAGCATCGGGATCATGGGACTTTTGACTCAAATCTAATTGAAAAAAGAGATGGAGCAGATGATTTAGGCGGGGATTTAAGGGCAGTTTATTTGAAACAATGGACTACGTCTTCGCAATCCAATGTGCGAATTAATTCGTGTTATTATTATTATTATTACTAAGGTTGAAGTGCGATGATTTTTTTTTTATTGCCTAAAATATCCTCCCATCCGAATGATAAAAGACTAGTCTTTCAAAATACTACCAGTAACTGAAACAGTATTTAAGGTTGAAGTGCGATGATTAAGGTTGGTGCTTAAGACGTTTTAGTGACTACCTCTGTGGCCCAATTCCCAGTTTTCCAATGCAAAGCCCATAGGATCTGAGGGCGTCCGGTTTCAGCCTTCAGGACGGGCTCAAGGAAGAAGAAGGCTGTATTAATCATGTGATATGTATATTTTATTAGAACCAAGAAAAACATTGAAAATCATTTATCCGATCTTAAAATTTAATAAAAATTTAATTTGACCCATATTTAATATATATTTTTTGAGAAAATAGTTGTCCATACAATAATAAATTAAAAGCAAAATAGTACATTTATATAAACAATTTAATAATATGACTTATAAATAAAATATTCTCTTTATGACTTATAAATAGAATTATAAAAGTATAAAATGATATAAAAATATCTATTTTGTCTCGCAATTACTCAATAAATACAAATTTCTTGTCGGTCAACATGATAATTTATGCTTCGATAAATCACGTGTGGAGAAAAAATAACGCGTTCTGGGGCAATACAATTCTAAACCCCCTGATGGCATTATTTTTTAATCATGTATAAAATGACAGGGACAGGAATTAAGAATAATCTTACGAACCAGACTAATGAGCTAAATTAAGTGAGCCGTGGTGTGGCCCGATTGGATCGGATATTAGGGGAACGCATTATAGATCCATGTACACACACACCCAAGCATACTAAAACATGATTGAATCAATTTTACGTTTTCTTTAATTATATTTACAAGTCACTTTTAATATGTTTCGCATATACCTAAAAACCATTAAATTTCATTAACTTTTATTTAAAATTCAATAACTTTTTAATTTTATCTTTATTTAATATATATTATATTTCATGTAAATAAAACCAATACAGTAATAAATGAATGGTGAAATTATACATTCATACAAAAAATTTCTGATACAGATTTAATTAATTAATTTTTTTGTTAGTTATTTATTTTGTTAACTACCCACTGACCCATTTATTGATTTTGTATTTTAATTATTTTATTTAAAATTAGGTTATAAACACCATAGATTTCTATCGTGTAAGCAGATTTTGCTTTTGACATATCAGATAGTTTTCTTCCATTCCCATTCTTATCTTTGCTCTCCTTTTTTCTCTAATATTCTTCTTTGATCTCCTTCTCTTCTCCTTTCTCTTTTCTGTTTTACATCAATTTCTCTCGGTACTCTATAAATAAAACTAAAAAATATATTCTCTTTGTATCCTATAAATAGGAGGTGAGGAGTATATGAGAAGGAAAACAATGAGACACGCTATTTGACACATGGCAACATATCTTTGATCATTTTGCATCGAGTGTCTTAACTGCCCCTTTGAAAAACAAAAAGAAAATTTTGTTTAAAATCTGCATTACATAATTAATTTTAAAAATCTCTCAAAACTTTCTGAAATTTCACTGCAGAACCAATAAGGTGTTCGTGAGTGAACAAGTGTAGGAGAGTCCATTTATAAATAAGAGTAGACAATTTACAACATACATACATATATTTACAACTGAAATTAGTCCATTTATATGTCACCTCTTTCACCTGAAAAAAGTGTCCGTGAGCGAACAAGTTTGGGAGAGCCCATTTGCAAGTAAAACTATATAATTTGCAACATACATACATTTATTTACAATTAGAATTAGTACATTTACATGTTACCTCCTTCACCTGAATAAGGTATCCATGACTAAATAAGTATGGGAAAGCTCATCTGTAAGTGGGACTAGACAATTTGTAATATACATACCTTTATTTACAATTGAAATTACTCTATTTACATATCACCCCATAACAAGTATTATGTGGGGGCAATAACGTCATTTTTTGTGTGGAATTAATATCAATTTGCTCTCTTAGTCCTACAATGAAATTTCAGCAAAATTCGAGGGCTGTTTAAAATTAATTTTGCACTGTAGTCATTTATTTACAATTGAAATTAGTCCATTTACATATCACCTCATAACAAGTATTATGAAAGGCAATAACATCATTTTCTTTGTGGAATTAATATTAATTTGCTCTCTTAGTCCTACAATGAAATTTCAGAAAATTTTGAGGGCTTTTTAAAATTAATTTTGTACTGCAGTCTTAAACGAATTTTTTCCAAAAACAAATGCGTGATTTGGAATGAAATTAATTTTAGAAAGCATATGAGATGAGAGGGAATAACAAAAGGTGGGTTGCTTTTGGGGTTGGACCGGCAAGTTACGCGAGATTCATCAGAATCACCCACTTGGCCCTCCACGTGGGACATATGTGACGTCGTTTTAGGCACCGTCTTGGACTCGGCGGGTGATCCTCCAATACAATCTCTGGTACTTCCTCTTCTCGTGGGCCAACCTGGCCCACTTCAAATCTCACTTCTTCATTAAGATTCACATCCAAAGGATTTGTTACAGCCCAAACAAGATCCAACGGATTTACTATGTGGTTTGTTTCCTTTGCAGAGTTATCATGCTCATGAACTACAAATGTAGAAAGAATAATATCAATGACGAATTTTTGAGATTGATAAAATAAATTTTTTGGGAAAAAATTAATATTTTTTAGAAGTAATATTTTTAAATGTCATTTCAAAATAACACTGGCAAGGGTGTGACCGTATTATTATTAAAAAATGTTTTTATGAAATGCATATCAAGTGAGTTTATTTGACAATTTCTTGGATGCTTCTTCTAAATCATTTTAGGGGCGACTGAGACCAATAAAATCAGGTGATTTAACTTACCAACTTTCGACGCGACATCCATCACATTAATGGTATAAAAGCGTTACATGAATAAATGATGATCAAACATCAAAGTTCAAAGATGCCCGCCTTCTTTATGGAATTTTTTTCTGGGTATTAATCACATTCCTATACCTCTCCTAACTGCTAAAGTACTCCTCTGGTCCTTAATATAAGACCCATTTAACTAATTTGATTAGATTAAGGAAGTTAGGTAAGTTAGTTAATTATAAGAAAATTGACACATTTTTCCTAAAACACCATAACCATCTTTCTTAATACCCTCTCTCTCTCTTTTACTTAATTATGGTTGAGGGAGTATCTATAGGGGTAATTTAGAGAAAATTGATAAATATGATAAATGGATCTTATATTTAGGACCAAAACCAACTCAAAAATTGGGTCCTATATTAAGGACCGGAGGAGTATTTTATAGTATATTTATCATTCTGAAATATTTTTTTATATGCGTTTAATTTTTTTCCGTCAATGCATTAAATTATATTTTAGTGCATTTTAAAGTATTTTTTAACACACATAGCACTTTACATTGATAAATATAAAATTGTACCCAAAAATACTTTAGGCATATTATATTAGACACATATGAAAAATATATTTAAATGCAGGATATACTATAAAATACTTTATAATACTAAATATACATTAAAAATATGTGATACTTTTGTACACCTTATGACAATTATATTTTCATTTAGGTGATATCTTTACTCGATTTGACTTTACTGATACAGTGTAATATCCATAAATGCTATAAATTTATTTCAGTTTGGGACATCAACTTATCATCGAAATAAAATAAAAATTCACGAGTGCTCACAAATCCCATCCTGTTGTTTGGAACGAATGATGAATAATCCAAAGCAAAGAACTGAAAAGGAGAAAACAAAAACCGGCAAAGAAGAAATAAAGAAGGAAGGAGAAAGAAAACGACGAAAGTAACGGAAAAAACTAAAAAAAAAAAAAGCAACGGGGTGGTAGGGTCATAGGTTTCAACCACCAAACCAGCATACTTTGTGCGCATAAAGCACAAAACAGAGCACAACAGAACATCCATGTCCGATATTCATTCAGAGAGAAGAACTCTTATTTTGGCTCTCTGCTAAAATCATCACAGTCATGGCTGAAGAAGAAGCTAACAAACCCCAAGCACAGCCACAACCACAACCTCAGACTCTGTCTGAGGCTGTTGACTCTTCACCACCTTCTGCTTCCACTGTTAAAGAGAGCGATTCCCCCAAGGAAGACCCTCCAAACGGCGTTGCTCAAGCTCCTCCTTCTGCTGTTCAAAGTAGGTCTTCCAAATTCCTCTGTTTCTCAGCAATAATTAATTATGTGCACGATTAATTCCTTTTACTCTGTTTCTTTTGATCATAGCAAAATTGCTTCTTGATTCATTTCACTTTGCCTCTTTCCATATTTGGCGGATGTTACTAGCTAGTATTTGTTTAAGAATCAGGGTTTGCTCTGTTGTGCAGAACCTCTCCTTTCACACTTTCTAATTTGCCTATTATTTTCTCTATAAATTCATTTTATTACGTGTTTATTGCTTTTTGATCCTGAAGGGCTGTGGTTTTTAGGGAAAGCTTGATTATTTTTGTTAGTACAATGAAGGGAATTTTCGTTTTTCGACTTGGATGAATTCACTAGCTCGTTGCTCTTTGTTTAGGTTAAATTAGCTTAACTGTTTCAGTTTGTTTCTGTAGTTGGCCTCCTTTTTATGCTACTGTCATATATTTGATTTGCTTTAATTTTTATACAGAGGCTGCAGATCCTCCTGCCAAGAACGATTCAAAAGATTCAGTCGATAAAGGTTGTTTTCTTTTTAGAAAAGATTGTACAATCCTTGTTGATTTTACGAGGTAGGTAGCTTCCTAATTGTTATATTTTTAGATTCTGTGCTTGCAAGAGTTGAGACAGAGAAGAGATTGGCCTTGATCAAAGCATGGGAAGAAAGTGAGAAGTCAAAGGCGGATAACAAGTAAGATGGCAACTTATATGATTTTGCTAATCATAATGACAAATTGAGACTTCCTTTTTATGAGCCTACGCAGCTTGATGATGTTTTTATTAAACAAATATTCGACAATAAATGATACAGTAATGCCTTGACTATCACAGAAATCACAATTTCTTTATTTAATAACCATATCCGAAGCTTAAAGCATCAAAATTTCTTGCTTAGCTTCTTGAACAAGAACATTTTTCTTTGGTCATTTTGACAGTGGGTTGAAGTTAAATTGATTCCATTTCTTACTGCTAAATACAGTTCTTGGTTCTAACAATCATGGGCGCATTGAGAATTCCTCTTATTACTTTTCACCATATTGAAGGTTGTAGTTGATGAAACTAAAATTCTGAAACAGGGCATACAAGAAACATTCAGCTGTTGGACTGTGGGAGGAACGCAAGAAAGCATCAGTGGAAGCACAGCTCAAGATAATTGAGGTGATTCCCTCTAAATTTATTGGATTATCTAGATTAGTAATATTTTGATGAGGTAAATTAGTTGACTGAAACTCGTTTGGAATGTTAGGAAAAACTGGAGAAGAAGAAGGCAGAGTATGTGGAAAAGAAGAAGAATAAAATAGCAGAGATTCACCAGTTAGCACAGGAGAAGAGAGCAGTGGTTGAAGCTCAAAGAAAGGAAGAGTGCCTCAAGGTTGAAGAAACGGCTTCCAAGTTTCGTGCCAGTGGCTATACTCCAAGAAAATTTCTTGCGTGCTTTAGTGCCTGACCTGTTTCATCCACCTTACTCTTTGGTCTTGCCTTGCTTTGCTTCTTGCATATTTTGAATTTGCTTCAAAGTCTTTCGTTTCTTACTGCGTACTGTAAAAAATAATAATAATAATAATAAAATTTGTTTGCGGTTGTTCTGGTTACTTCAAGTGTTTGTAATAAAGCTTATGAATACCATCAAATAAAGTTACCGATTTGTGTTTAAGCTGTCTTCTGCTTGCTTTTTACAAAGTGCTTGCTACTCTTGATATGGCTATTCTCTACTAACAAGAGAGTGGCTCACTAATTACTGCAATCCACTTTTTTTTTCTGCGTTTTTTCCCCTTAATTTACACGAAATGAAATTATACGATAATAAAAAAATTTCTCCTTTTTTTTTAAATAAACAAAGCATCAACCATGAACCATATTTACAAACTTCTTTTTACAAAATACTGCTCCTATCATCTTCCACCATCCCTTTTAGTAATAGGGTTGCTTTGATATATTTTTTAAATTGATAGATTGATCAAAGAAATTTGCACGGGCTTTTTTTTGGCCCTGAATAAATTTGCATGGGTTAGACATTGTAACGGATCATAAATTAGAAAGATACTAAAAAGATTGAGTCTAGTGGAAAAGGTTAATCCTTCACAACTAAGATTTGAATCCTTGTTGGAAGAGATACCGACATTTAGTGCCCAACAGTACCTCGAACAGAATTACCTTCTATAGGATGATACTTATGCTTTAGTAAAAAATTCTTGCAAATAAATAATATGGGTTTATTTGGAATGACATTCAAAAGCGCTAATAAATATATTTTACATAAGTTATGATGAAACTTTTCTCATGTACTTATCTCGTATTTTATAAATTATTATTAAAAAGCTATTTGTAAGTTATTTCAAACCGGTACTAAATCATTGCCACACCTAACATCTCTATCATTACATGAGAAATGTATATGTATGGGTATATAAGCATGACAGACAGATTTTGACATCCAATTGTTTTATATTTTCGGGAGGTTCCTTTTCCTTGTGTGCAACCAAACATTGCAACGGAATTCCCATTGTTTCTCCCTTCCCTTTGGGCTGCAAGTTCAGACCTTGCACCCAAAAAAAAGTTCAGACCGTACCAGATAAACTTAAATAATTGATATAAAAACTAATTAATTAATTTAAGTAGATTAAAAAAATAAATTAAGGTAATTATTTATAATAAATATATGTTATTTTTCTTAAAATATTTTTACTAATCAAGTTTATTGGTTAGAACTATTATTATTAGAATGATTATTTTAAAAAAAATAGATAAAATGGATTGAAATTTTACAGTTAGATCAAAGTAAAAGTCAAACGAAGTCTTATATTAAAGACCAGAAGTGATATTAATATTAATATTGTACCCTGTGCAAAAAAAAAGTACAATCTTAAAATGAATACAAAATATTAAATGCATTGAATGGCAATTAACAACTCATATTAAAATGCAATTAGTTTGGTTCTTTTTTTTCAGTGGAGCTTATGAGAATAGAAGTGATAAAAGCAATATAATCCGTATTGGTTTTTCCCCCCCGAAAGATAGCAGTTGAATTGTTAGAATTTAGTGCTGATTTTCCTCTTGGCGCTAGCGTAAACCCTAAACCCTTCTTCGCGGATTGACACTGTGTCCCCTCCGAAACGATGTACTCGTCAGTCGTAGCAGAACGATCCAGGGCATTGTCGAAAATCCTCTGCAACTTCATCTTGGTCCGAAACATGGGTGGGGGTCCTCGGACTTTCCCGGGCGGCGTCAACAAGTGGAAGTGGAAGCGCATGCACGAGAAGCGAGCCAGGGATAAAGAGAGAAGGCTTCTCGAACAAGAAAAGCAGCTTTACCAGGCTCGCATTCGCTCCCATATCCGTGCCAAACTCGCGGGAAAACCCGACACCTCAAGCGCCACTCACAACCCTATGGCCCCGGAGGACCATATTAAGGCCTTGGCCAATCGATTTATGAAGGAAGGAGCTGAAGATCTCTGGAACGGAAATGACGGTCCGTTGAAGCCTCCGCCTCCGCATCTCAGAGAATTTCCAGGATCAAGCAGACGGCGAGGATCAATCGCGTCGCCGGTTGATCCGAGGAAACTGGTACCGGAAGGCCGTCACATGTTTTCTGATCGCCAAAAGGACTATCTGACGAATACGAGTTGTAATTTTACTCAGAGCAGGGGTTACTCAACGCAAAATTGGAGGAGGTTTCAGAGGAATGAGAGCTCGTCAGAGGAGGAAGATTCTGATTCTGGTTTGAAGAGAAACCCTGCAAGACCCATAGTCAGAAATTCATTTAGTAGTCAGAAAACCCTGATTAATGCAAATGCGGGTGAGTATATAAACAAGAAGCAAAATATCCCGAAGAGGCAGCGAAAGTTATGGAGAGATGACAGTTCTTCCGGCGAGAGTGAATCGGACATGGATTCAGACGGTTCGGGGATCGTCAGGGGCGTGAATAAGATAGGTAGTAGTGCTTCTTTGGGGAAGTATGACGTAAAGACGAAGAGGAGGGTCCTCCCGAAGTCTTATGACGAGGAGAGTGACCTTTCGGAACAGGTTGAATTGATCAGGTATGAACTAAATAAGAGGAAGATGTCCCAGAATGACCAGCAGAAAAGTGAGGAAGATTCGTTACTTAGTCAGAAAAGGTATTCAAATTATTTGTTTTCCCCCATTTCGTGTCTGTTGGTTTTATGATTTGCGATGTTTGTGTTGGGTAAAACAAGCCCAAGTTGTGACAATCCTTTTCTCCCAACTATTCACCATGCGAGCTGGATATGAACTTGTGTGCTTTCACAGTCATATCACTGAACTTCCAGATTAAATGATTTGGTTTTCTTACTTCGGGTTACTAAGAAACTGAGTATTGAAAATTATCAATAAATTATACCATGTAAAATTTTGATAAGTATATAGAGGCAAATGAATGCTTGGTTGCTTTATGTAACTGCATTGACTAATGTTTTATGTCTTGGTTTTAACTTTTTTAATAGATTTGATGAGTGTGACATATCGCCACTGACAATCAAGGCACTTTCTTCAGCTGGTTATATTCGCATGACACGAGTTCAAGAGGCTAGCCTTTCCGTTTGCCTTGAGGGTAGGTTGCCTTTTGTTGCACTATAGATTTCAATTGATTGTGGATTAGATTACCACAAATCAGCCCCATCTTGAGGTGTATGATTTACGTGCTTTTATTAATCTAGTCTGCAACTATGGCTCAGCATCCTGAATTATCTTCAGTGCCTGAAAGACAAAGTTAAGGTGTCAGGTCTCATGAACATATTGAGCTCTAAGCCTTGTCAAATTTTATTCAGATTGAAATATTATTATTAATAATTTACTATTTTACTTATTGATCATTGATTTGTAGATATGGCTTTTAGTGATTTTTTGTTTTGTTTTTTGAAATCAAACTTTGATTTGTCATTTATTAACTAAAATATTATTATCAGAGAAAACTGCATTGACTTCAACTGATGTTTGGTGTGACCTACGTCCTAACTCCCTCTAGTTTGAGATTATACAAAGATCTCCCCCAACATCTAGCCCAACACCTGTAGCAGAAGTTTTTTGGGACATGACCTCCTCTATGTAGCATAAGGTACAAGCGAAGTTATACTTCCAGGGGTTGTTTTTGCGTAATTTGATACTAGAGCGTACCTGGAAGTATTAAAAGATATCAAGGAAGGTCATTGTATTTCTCTCCTTTTATTGTTGCTGTAGATCTTGCAAAGAGAAAAAGTCCTTGACTTATGATTCTTTTGCATGCTCTATGGACCAACTCTGGATCATTTTATTTTCTTATCATCAACTTGCTCCAAGCTACTTGATATGGCTATTGGAAACAATTTTGATGATGTTTTAAATTTTGTTCTGATGCAGGCAAGGATGCTCTAGTCAAAGCTAAAACTGGCACTGGGAAAAGTGCGGCATTTTTGGTACACTCTAGTTCTTATATGTGCTTTGCACATGCTGCATGGTATTTTGTTTAGTTTTTTTATCAATGGTGTTGAATGCAAACAGCTTCCTGCTATTGAAACAGTTATTAAGGCAATAAGTGTAAATGCCCCTCAACGTGTGCCTCCAATACTTGTTCTGATCCTTTGCCCTACCAGAGAACTTGCGATTCAAATCACTGCAGAATTGAAAGTTCTTCTCAAATACCATGATGGAATTGGAGTTCAGACTCTAATAGGAGGTATTCGATTTAAAGATGACCAGAAACGTCTTGAATCAGATCCATCACAGGTTTTACGTTATGCTTGCTTAAATTTCTTTGTTTTATAGCTTGTGGTTACATGTTGCTAATCTTGTTGATAAAATCAGTGTTGTGTGCCATTATGTTTATCTGTCTTATTTGAAATTTTGCAGATCATTGTTGCTACTCCAGGGAGGTTGCTGGATCATATTGAGTATAAGTCTGGAATATCTCTGCGGTTGATGGGTTTGCAGATGCTTATACTCGATGAAGCTGATCATTTATTGGACCTGGGCTTTCGAAAGAGTGTAGAAAAGCTTGTTGATTGTTTGCCCCGTCAAAGGCAATCTTTGCTATTTTCTGCAACCATTCCAAAGGAGGTTGCTTTATGATGTTAATATTTGGTCTGTTTAATTTAATATTGATTCTTATTAGTAATTTTGTGTTGTTGCAGTATTAATCTACATTTAAGTTATATTTCACTAATGCACAGGTCCGACGTATATCTCAACTTGTTTTAAAAAGGGATCACACGTATATTGACACAGTGGGGATAAATTGCGTGGAAACTCCTGTTAAAGTAAGCTACAGTTACTACTGTGGAATTGCAAAACATATTCTCTTGGCTTTTCCTAGAGGCTTCGTGCTCGTAATTCTTGTTTTTATTGGCTGGCTTGACAATTCTGGGATGTTTCTTTTAACTTGATTATATCTTATCTCGCGCTCATACTGAAGAAGGCATAGAGATCTTCCTGTGTTATTGTCATTATTATCATTTAGTTGAAAGTAGTAATACTCACTTTGGTTTGCTATCACAGGTAAAGCAGTCTTATCTTGTTGCTCCTCATGAATCTCATTTTCAAATGTTGCACCATATTTTGAAGGAGCATATCTTGCAAGCACCTGATTATAAGGTGAATTTCCTCTAGGTCTAGAGTTTGAATTGCTTTACCATGTAACCTGAGAGGTGGAGTTGCTTTCAGGTTA